GTCCTTGGAGGAGAGTGTGACTCCATCCAGGACTGGGAGCTGTATTCCTAAATCTGGTTTTGGACCTGTGACTGTCAGTACCTCCATTTTGTCTGGATTAAGTTTCAATGTGTTTTTCCTCATCCAATTCCTCATCCAGGTACAATCCCAGCCAGGTCTCGGTAAAGCATGCCAGGTTGGCCGCCTCATCCAATAAGAGTTTGTGGATAATATGGGTCTTATTTTTAACCGACCTGGCATTGCAAAGGAGCAGAGTAAGGGTCTGTGGAATGGATGGTACTCTCTCCAAATTATCCTGGAAAACAGAGTGAACTGAAGAAGGGGTAGGTATTAAGCATCGATCCCTTCTTTTGTAACATTTTTTCACTCTGTTGCTGCCATATATTCCCTGCCCCCACACAACCTCAATCCCCTCTCCCAGACTATACCTGGCTCCATTATGTGATGGCTGTGATAGATACTCCAGCTAGTTCCCGTCCCCTAATAAGTAGACAGAGTCTTACAGATAATGGAAAAGAGGGACTAGGAAGATCTTCCAAGCTATGACTTCTTTCCAGCCCTGACAATTTGTAGTTGATGAGGCCCATATTCCAGCAGAATGGCCAGTGCTGACACCTTTAAAGTCTCTGTCTGGACTTCTTCTTCACCTTTACTGCATGTACATGTGTGCTTCTGAAATGTGATCAGTGTGAGAAGAACACAGAGGAATAATCACATATTACTTTCCAGGATTCCATAGGATGTTGATTTGGTGGTTAAAATGGAATCATACCAATTTAGGTAAGGATAAGTAGCATAATGATAAGTAGCATAAATACAGTAGCAACACAAAGCTGACCTTATGCATCCATTTTAAATATTCAAGAGGGACAGATATTATAAAGTAGAGGGATGGAGAGGGGAGGAAAGGAGATAGATAGATAGATAGAGAGAGAGAGAGAGAAGCATTCTTTTTCATTGTAAAGGCTACATTAAATTTTGGAAATGCTCTTGGGGCAGCACTTCATTGATATCCAAAGACCAAAGAGTGGGACCAAAATTAACAGCACATTTTAATGCAAAGCTTTTGCTCTCAGTTACTAAGTTTCAGGAGAGGTATTTTGACCTTTTGGAATGGAACAAAAATGTACAATAGCTTAGAAGTCACGAGACAGTGGTAATATGGAGAAGGGGATACGTCTTCTGTTCAAGCCCAGAATGGGAAGATTTGGCCACAGGGCTTGTGTTTCCAACCTGACTGATGTTTTTGTTGTTGTGCAAAACAAAACAAAAAATTGATGCTGACCCCTTCCAGACTGCTTGTAATCTAGGTTATACAGACAAGATTTAGATTCAAATTCCTGCCAAACTGTGACCTCAGGAGGATAATATTATTTTGTTGGATACAGAAGATGAAACGATAAGCCTATTTCTGGATTATACATTTGTCTTTTCATTGATGGAGAACAGTTGTCAATAAGCTCCCAAATGTGCTCCTGTAGCATTTGTCAATATGTTCCGCATGTGAAGTTGTATTGGACAGTCATGTGTTGTCAGTGTCTCCTCTTCTCTCACTCTCCTCCCTTGCTATTCCAGAGCAGGACCCTTTAAAACTTTCTTTTATTTTCTTCTTGCCCCTGCCACCAAATGACAGTCTTCTCATGACTGGACTTCTTCTTCATCTTTACTGCATGTATATGTGTGCTTCTGAAATGTGATCAATGTGAGAAGAACACAGAGGAATAATCACAGAGGAATAATGCACTCTCATTTCTTCTTTGACCGTGGAGGGGCACAACCAGCTTCTTTACATTTGCCCTCCCCTGCTGCCAAAGAAGAAATTACTCTGGAATTGTGTTACAAATACATATTAAATAAATAAATAAATAAATGGCATGATGGTTAGGGCATAGGACAGAAAGGTGGGGGTCTAAGGAGGAATGAGGAAGAGAATGTGAGATCATTGATGACACAAAAAGTCCAAACATGCTATTGAAGAGATGTGTACGAATAAAGCTCCAAAACTGGTATGTTTTTGTCCTGTTTTTAATAACATGATTTGGGCAAGACTGAGGCTCATGCAAAATATGGAAAAAAGCACATACAAACAATCTGTTTCTCCAAACACATTTTCATCAGTTGTTCTCCAGGCAAACAAATAAATGAATCTATGGATATATATAGACAATTAAGCCTTTGCTTACACGATATTATATACCTCCTGTATGTGGAAGGAGATGAAAAAAAAAATCAATAGGGAATATTTCCAGATCAGCAACAGTCATGAATCCCCTTTACAATCAGTAAATATAATGTAGTCTTCCTGCACATGTACACACACCCATTCCATCCAAAAGGACAGAGCAGACAGTCCTTTTATTCCCTTCTGAACTTCTGCCAAAACCCCTCTTTCCCCTCATGTGGTAATAATGGAGCTGACTGTACTGTCAAGGGTGTGCCAGAGCTTTATGCCTGGCTGACCCAGAGTGCTAGACTGCTATTCCTGCATGCTCTGCTGCTTTTTAGCTCCACTCAAAAGTTGCCTCAAGCATCTCTTGGCAGCCCCCTTGATATTTTGGACACTGAATTTAGAATGAACAATAAGTCAGCAGCCTTCACATTCAGTCAGAAAAGTTCTCCCCCTCCCTCCTTGGACTAACAAGAAGAAAGCTCAGGGCTGCTTGGAGAAAGACCTTTGTACGGGTAAGCAAGACTAGACTCTGCCCTTCTGAGACACAGGAGAAGATTCAGATAGTGCTTGTGCAGTTTTGTTTAGTTTCCTCTGCAAAGAGTTATAATCTATCATGGTAATACAAAGGTAGTAAACCAGCATGGTGTAGTGGTTTGTGTGTCAGACTATGACTCTGGAAATCAGGGTTCGATTCCCTGCTAGACCATGGAAACCCATTGGGTGACTTTGGGCAAGTCACATTCTCTCAGCATCAGAAAAACCCTGTAGTTGGTTTGCCTTAGGGTTGCCATAAGTCAAAAATGACTTGAAGGCACACAACAACAACAAATTCAAAGGTATTGCTTTTTTGTTATTAAAAGAAATGAACATTTCAGTGCTAATTCCCTGAAATGTACTAGGAGGAAACATTTCAATATATATAGCTTTCACTGGAAGCCCTGCCTTCCAGTGTTCCCCAGCCTTGGACCTTCAATTGCTGCTGGACTACAACTCTTAGCATCCCTGTCCACTGGCCATGATGGTTAGGGGTACTGGCAGCTGAAGTCCAACAAGAGTAGAAGTTCAAGACTTTGTTGACATATTGCAGACAAGCAAATCACCAGATTCAGATGGTATCAAATTGAGTATAATTGCTTTTTAACTTCTGTAAATCAGATTTTAGCTTATACTTTTGTTTTAAGTTATTATAAGCCACTTTGGGTCATGTGGCAGAAGAAAGGAAGGCTATAATTAACTGAATGAATGCATGCATGGATGAACAAGTTCATTGTCACAAGATATAGTTATGATTGCTACATTGGAGGGGTTTAAATGGGGGGATTGCACAAGTTAATGGAGGATGGGGATACAAATATCTACTTGTCAGGTAGGCAATGTATCACCTCTGGTATCATAGGCAGCATACAGCTGTGTATCAGTTTCTGAAGAGCACAAGATACAGGATACAACTGCACTCATGTCTTTTTGATGAGCTTTCCATGGGACTATGCACTGTGTGAATAGTGTGTTGGTTCACAGGCCTTTGGTCTCATCCAACATGCTTCTTCATATGAGAGTTCTCCACTCTCTGAGGTAGTTCATTCCACATCAAACAGATCTTACTATCAGGATTTCCTTCCTAACATTTAACCAGAATCTTCTTTCCTGTGATTTGAATCCATTGGTTCAAGTGCTATCCTCTGCAGCAGTGGAAAACAAAGTCACCCCCATTTTCTATGCGACAGCCTTTCACATATTTGAAGATGACTATCATATCACCTCACAGTCTTCTCCTCTCTAGACTAAACATACTGTAATTCATGTGGCTTGGTTTACAGTCCATTTTCTGTGTTGGTGTCAGAGTTAGCACCAGCACCTTGGAAAATCAATCAGTCAGTTTGATTAAAGAATCAACAGCACTTTATTGATAGATCCAAAAGTCAGACATGTGCATCACTAAGCTTCTTAGCTGAGACTGACCACACACCCCCACAGACAAAGAAAAGGAATAGCCCAAAACCAAGCTCCCCCCCAACACGAAAGCCCGCTTGCAAAACCCCTCCTATTTCCCACAAAACAGAAACTACATTCCCAGCTCAAAGAGCCAGGCTCTCAAGGCCACTGATAAAACACCTGGCCCTGCTATTCACTACATGCCTACATTTTTATTATAACTAAACCATTACCCCCAACTACTAATCACTATACTATATATCTGATAGAATACTAACAGGATTCTAACAGTCAGCCCCCCTGAAAACAGAACCTCCTCCCAACAGCGAAAGCAGACGTAAGCAAGAAATCAAGTTACAGAAGAAAGAGCGGGCTTATCAGGATATTGAGCATGAAAACGTGCCACAAAATCAAGAGCATTAACATGAGCAACAGAAACCCATTCGTCATGATCTGTAGGAAAATGCTTCCAGCAAACAAGATACTGGAGCTTGCCCTTGTGAAATCGAGAGTCTAAAATCTTTGAAACTTCAAAATGCTGCTGTCCATCAATCATCAGAGGGAGAGGTGGTGAGTCAGCCTTCTTCCAATGACCCTTGCTGCGATCTGGTTTCAGCAACCTAAAATGAAAAACTGGATGAAGCTGATGATAGGATTTGGGAAGAAGGAGCTCAGCAGTGACATCATTAACAAGTCTCTTAACTGGAAAAGGGCCTATGAACTTAGGGCCTAATTTTTTGGAAGGAAACCTGGATTTTAGATTCTTTGTAGAAAGATAAACCATGTCCCCAGGTTTAATGTCCCAACCATCAACACGTTTCTTGTCAGCATATTTTTTGTATTGACGCTTGGCCTCCTGTAAGGCTTTAGTGATCACCGGCCAAGCCCCCCTGATCTTATCAGCCCACTGAGTCACTGGAGCAGGGTCAGTCTTCTCTGCTGGCAGAGCAGGGAGCAGCTTGGGCTCAAAACCATAGTTAATCAAAAAAGGAGACTGTCCAGTACTGTGGTGCACGACACTGTTAAAAGCGACCTCAGCATGGGGGAGCAAATCAAACCAATCATCCTGTAGGTAATTGGTATAGGAGCGCAAGTATCTTTCCAGAGCCATGTTAGTTTTCTCACATTGCACGTCTGATTCAGGATGAAAAGCTGTGCTGAGCGCTAATTGGACCCCCAATGTTGTCTGTAACACCTTCCAAAACTTTGAGGTGAACGTGCTCCCCCGACCAAGACAATTTTGTCCGGCAGTCCGTGGTATTTGTAGATGTGGGCAATAA